GTCGTTTAAGGAAACACACACTTTAGTTTCAGCTGTTTTCCTAATTAGAGATGTTTAAACATCCAATGTTTACACGAATGAAACCACTGAGGGAAAAATCTGAATGTGTGAGCATAAAGCAGAAAATAAATACATTTTATTTGCTCAGCAAAAGCTTCTGCTTACTGCTCCACCATTATCTGTTCAAATGATGACTTAACCAAGATACTGTTTTCACTGTCCAACTCTTCTTTCAGGTCAGTAGATCTTTTACCTGCTCACCTTTACTCATCTTCCTTCTGTGATTCTCTGATGTTATTTTTCATTGAGAAAATTCACACAATACCTGGTTTCCAATGTTCCCTGTAGCTCTTCCTTTGTGATTCCTCTCCCATCACACTGTTTTTCTGCTGTTACTGATATTTCAGATCTCATCTGTAAGTCGAAACCTTCTACTTGCCAGCGAGACCCCATTCCTACAGTTTTGGTCAAGGCATGTCTGCCCTCTTTGCTTCCCCTCATATCTGCTATCATCTATTCTTCATTAACCACTGGAACTCGTTTGGCTCTCGGCAAAGGCGGTTGCACTTTTCTCCTCTCCTCCTTCCCCTTATCTTCCCTGCTTAGCTTCTTGTGTCCTTGTCTTGTCTCATGTGAATTTCACTTCCCTGGATCAGTCTCTCACAGTTTGTGTCTAAAAACCTAAAAGAGAATTATGGATTTGATCAACTGGTCTCTGAATGCTATTGACACCCTTTTCCCAGTCTGGGCTCGGGAGAACCCGGGTACACGATGGACGGGTGGCAGAAATGGAGGATCGTGTGCCTGGCGGGACGAGGTGCGGCTTCTCAGAAAGGGCTCACTGAGTGCAGCATGGTTAAGACCTTGGAGGCGCTTACGGCTGCAGTGAATACTCAGAATAACACCTCTGAGCGTATATTGGATTAAATCAGGGAAGAATCCACTCGGAACAACACCTCTGGGCAGAAGCTGGATTACATCGCGGATCAGTTGGCTGCGGTCGTGAGGTCTCAGAATCTGCTCTGTGAGCAAAAGACTGAAAAGACCACAGAGTTAAAGGTAAATAACATCATGGAGAAACTCGCAGCTATCCAACGGGAGATTGAGAGACCAGTGTTGGAGTGTTGAAAACAGCTTGAAATTCTCATGAGTTGTTTGTAAAAGAAAAATCACCATCATAATGCGGCTACCCCTTCGGCGCCAGCTGTGGGCTCAAGGCTGGAGCTGAACAAAAACTCCCTGATAAC